AATTGATGGAAGGTTTACAAAGAAATTTCATGCTCCCTTCTAAAAGTATTTTTTAATATTTTTGAAATACAAAAATACAGTAGTTTATTTTGATACTTGGTGTGGCTGCTGTATTTTGTCGTTTATTTTGATACACTTAAAATTAAGGTATTTGGTATTTTATTTTAAAATACATTTTGATTTGTCTTTGCCCAACCCTGCATATCCCAAATATCAAAACTCATATATGTCATTTACCTACCTAAAATTTTACAGTCACTGTTATGCACACTGAGCATAAACACAGCTCAAAGGCTTCCTACTAGTGGCCTTCACAAAACTTAACATCCAGCACAGTTTTATCATAGGTAGAATGCAAAATGTTTAAAAACAAGCATTTCAGTGAAATTTACGTTATGCAATATTTCAAACCTTTAATCCATGGGGGGGAAAAAAATCAACCCAAGGCAGCAGTTTAAAAGTAGCCCAATTCCGTGAAGAAGAAGAAAAAAAACCTGACTAACAGGAGCTGCAGGAGTCAGATTTCACTGATCATGATCACGGGTCAAGAGTAAAGGAGAGCTGACTGACAAGACCATGCTGGAAGATTTCCTGCGCAACAGGTCCTGAGCTCAGTGACAAATATCTCATCCCTATGCCCTAATCCCTTCAAAGGGTTTACCCTCCGGAGTGAGAGCTTTGAAGGGTTGAAGGGGACCAAACAACTGTTTCTTGAAGTGCCCTTCTGCGTCATAATCACGTGCCCACACGGAGGCGCCGTCATCATGGAAAGAATCTGCGCAAAGGATCATGGGGGCCCGAAGTGTCCCTCAGTTGTACCCTTCGAAATCCTTCATTCCGAAGGGTCCTTTGAAGTTGCTAGTTTTGAGCACTTCGGTTTGGAACGACCCTTCAATATGGCGGCCATGATTGTTTTCACTCTGAAGTGCCCTTCGGAGGGCGATATATCCCGTTTGGAACACACCGTATATGCGCGGTTACTACCTGGTTTTCTAAAAGCCAGCTCAGTCATTTCCGGTCAATTGTCAAAATCAGCTGTGCTATCAGGGGAGCACCCTGTCGCTACGTAATCCATTCACAATTAAAAGTTTTGTTTGCCTAAGAGGACCATACTGTATACTGCCGTATATTGTTTCAGGAATGACAAACGCGAATGAATCCGCTAAATTGTTCCGCGAGTGATTGCTCTAAATTGTCGGTGAACCTGCAGCGATGTAGGAAACGAACTAACTGACAAACCGATGTCAAAACTAAACCTGTGCATCAAGTGATTCAGACTAAATTCAGAGTAACAAAACTGTAAAAAAAAAAAATTATTTTAAATAAAATCTAAAAAGATTTTATAAATATTGAATGCATTATTTAATTGTTATACCATTAATAATTAATTATTTAATTTGTAGTTAACTAGTTAAGTAAATAAATAATGAACCCTTATAGGCTGTCGGTGTCTGGGCTTATTTATTTATTTTTAAATGACATGAGACATTGTGACTTCCTGCACTTGCTATACTTTATACTTTAATACAGTAAAAGTACCAATATGTGTTACAATAGTCATTTTATAATAAATCCAAAAGCAAGACGTCAAAAAAAAAAAAAAAACCTATAGGGAGTTGAAATGACAACTGAGCTAATGAGTGACCCTCTGCTTCCATCTACTGGTTATAATGGTAATTTCATGTCATTTTCATCTTAAAAGTCTTTGTTCTAAGTAGATATTGATTAAGACAGTTTGGTAAAAAAAAAATTCAACAAAATTAAAAATCTCAAAAAACATTTTCGTTACTTGAAATAAAATAAATGTTATCTGAAATAAAATACTTAAACTGTTTTATTTTAGCTAGTTGACAAGGAAACATTTCCCAATTTCATTTAGTTGATCTTGATGTTGTAAAATAACTAAAACTGAAATAAAATGTAATAATTATAAAGACAACAAAACATATAGACATGTAAAAACAACAAATCTAATAAAAACAACAAAAACAAACAATAAAATTGCTAAAACTAACTAAACTGAAAACGACAGCAGAAAATATAAAAATAATTCAAAATATTAACAAAAACTATAACGCTACCTGAATGATACTAAAATAATATTACTTTACAATAAGGTGTCAGTGTAAGATATAAGTGTACAATGGGGGATGGGGGTGGTTTTGGAAATCTGCTTAGGGCCCCCAAAATGCTAGGGCTGGCCCTGCGCCGATGTGCCCTGGGCACAGATGTTTTCACAGTTTGCATCTGTATGCCTAATCACACAGGATTCTCAATGACACTATTACGTGGAAGAGAATGCAAACAATGTACTGTAGTTCACACGCAAATTCACGCTTAAAAATAAAGGATCCACTTTTTTTTCTTTTTGATGCCATCGAATAACTATTTAGGGTTCCTGAAAGAACCTTTTTTTTTTTTTTTGTGAAGAACATTTTAATAATCTAAAGAACCTTTTTATTTGATGCCTGCCCACATGAATACTGGCTCAGTAAACGGATACATATAGCAAATGTTGGTTTTTATTCTATCAAGGTGCGTTTTTTCTCAAATCTTACCTATAATAAATTGTTCACACTGTGTGTTAAATGCTTGAACACACAACAGATGAGAGCATCTGTGTCAAATCTGATCACTCAAATCCTAATGGTCACATCAAATGGAAAATACAGCCAGAGAAGAAAACATCATTGTTGTGCGCTGCTCAGTGTTGGGCTCGTTACTTCAAAAATGTAATTTATTACTCTTAACTAGTTACTCCTTTCAAAAGTAATATTATCACTTTACTTATTACTTTCTGGTAACAGTAATTAGTTACACTACTAGTTACATTACTTTTCCTTCACGTCCCACAGAAATTGTAATTGTGTATCTTTCCCATAAAATTCTTCTAAAATGTTTACAATATATTTCTGCCTCATCATTTGACCAAAATCTCAGAAGTTATTACAAACACTCAATGGTGATTGATAGTCAGTGTTGGGGATAACGCATTGCAAGTAACACAAGTTATGTAATCAGATTACTTTTTTTCAAGTAACTAGTAAAGTAACCCATTACTTTTTAATTTACTAGGAAATATCCGAGTGACCTTTTCAAATAAGTAATGCCAGTTACTTTGTTTTCCCATGTATTGACTGAGAGCTCTTTTTTCTTTTGTAAATGCAGAGGGTTGTGTGCGCTGTGTAAACATGATGCTTACTGTAGTTCTAGACTATATGTCAACATCCATTTATTCATCTCACTCGCACAAAAACAGATTCAGTATTCCTCAAAATGAATAAAAACAGTGAAATGCAAACTCAGAATATGACGCAAACCATATTAAATATGTTAAATAGCACAAATATCATTTATGTATTTATTCCCATTTTGTTAACCAGTGTCTTTGCTGCTGACCTTCAATGATCCATTTCAACCATACCAATATGCAAAAATGACTTTAGATAAACATAACATTTGTGTTTCCTTTTTTATTGCTGAAAAGAGAAAAATGAGCCCAGCCCAGATGAGAAAAAGTAACGCAAAAGTAATTTTACACATTACTTTCCATAAGAAGTAACTAAGTAACCCAATTAGTTAGTTGAAGATAATTGTAGCTATAATTTCTGTTACCCATATATTTCATGAAGTATTTTATCAAAAGAAATCACATAAGTTCATTAGATTTTTAATTATAGCAATATAATTTATATGGGGATCAGAGGAATGTGGCCGCGGGCAAGCCATGTAATGCCAGAGTAAAGTTATGCCACAACTTACTGTTCAGATCACCTTTTGTCCTGACAAAATCAGTCTACTGGCAATATTTCTATCCCCTGAATGTAAGCTTTTCCATATTCCAAGCTTTCCTGATGCACTGGTGACTTCATGTGCCTGTGCGAGTCGTGAAAATAAATCTAGGAATTATTGGATTTCAAATCAGTAGGGGTGGAGGCATCAAAAGTAACTAAGTAACAAGCTGTTTTATGGATGGTAACTGTAATATTACTGAAATATTAATAGTAATTAGTTACACTACTAGTTACTTCAAAAAGTAATATTACTGTAACTAGTTACTGCCTAACACTGGCACTGTCACTTATGACTGTGAGTCTGTAGGAATCCGCATTAGTGTATGTTTGTGCTCATTATGGGCTATTCATCCATATTTCTAATTGAATTTGCTGGGTGGCTGAAAAAAAATCCCCTTCCCCCTTCATCTAGTATAACACTTGTGTGACGCTTACCTTTTGGTGTCTTTAAGATTTGTTTTTGATCTTTTTTCAGCCTTTGACGTTCACCAAGGCTGCATTTATTTCATCAAAATAAATTTAAAATAACCATTGTATTTGAATATATTTTAAAACGTAATTTATGCCTGTGATCAAAGCTGAATTTTCAGCATCATTACTCGTCTTCAGTGTCACATGATCCTTCAGAGATCATTCTAATATGCCGATTTGCTGCTCAAGAAACAGTTATCAATGTTGTGCTGCTTAATATTGTGGAAACCAGTTAAGAATCACTGCAAATACATTTAAAATAATGTTTATCCCGGTCATTGTTGTTGTCAATGTTAAAAACAACATGGATACAAGTTGTGGATAAATCTCACAAGAAGATGCTGCTCAATTGTGCACATGAAAACATTAAGAGTCATTGATGTTACATTTATTTTTGAGAAGTTCTAAAATATAAAATATTGATTTTAGCCCTCATGAAATGTCATTTAAAAAAATAAAAATAAAAAATAAGTTAAACTGAAGGTAGAGAGGAGTTAAAACCTTTTTGGAAGTTATTTTTTAATGACCCATTAGTGGGAGAACTCAATACATCTGTTAAACAATCAATTAATGATACAAATATAAAATACAAAACATAGAACTGAGCAATAAGCTTGAATAGCCACTTAAGGTGTGCCATAACTATAAACAAGTGATTGATTTAAAAAAATAAAAAAATAAAAAAAAATAAAAAAAAAACAGCTTCCTTTGCAATAATCAAACTCAGTTCCTTTGCATTCAGCACTCACTGAACAGTTATAAATTACCCCAAAAAAAAAAATTGCTCTCCTGCAACAATGATTCAATCCTAGCCTGTAAAAGAAAGCTATATAAGATGCATTAATATTTAGATGTAACTTCTGCTACTCACAAATTCAGACACAAAAAAAGTGTTACTTTTAAGAGTTTATTTGAGGACCATGCAATGGCCATGAACGGCCCTTGACATTTTTACAAGTGTAGATCCTTCATTAGCTCTACAGTACAAAATAACTTTAAGTTACTTAAAAAGAAAAGATACATTAACAAAAAAGAGGGAGGAAAAAAAAATCCTGCACAGCAGACTCTGGGATGCTTGTGACGGCATGTACATTTTACAACCGGCTCTGAAGAAATAAAGTTACATGAACGGAACAGTTAAAGATTCTGATTAGCAAATGAAACTGTTTACTGAGGGAATGCAGGAGGAGCCATGGGGAACGGCATGGACTGTGGCATCTGTTGGGGGTTGAAGGGGAATGGTGGAGGGTGGTTCATGTTGTTCTGAACGGCCCCTTGGTTGGGAGCAAACTGCTGGTTCTGATAGCCTTGGTTTCCATACCCACCAGATTGATTGCCAAAGTTACCCTGTCCATTATTGCTGTAACCCGCGTTGAAGCTGTTACTGCTGTTGTAACCGCTAGATCCGTTTTGAGTTTTGTTTCCAAACACCTTCTTTTGCCCGTAAGAGTCACTGTTACGGTTATCCTGGCTGTAGCTGTTGAAGTCCCGCCTGTTGCCCGCTGAGTGGCGATCGCGACGGTCGTCCCTATACCCTCCACCTCGACCACCCCTTGAACGACCTGGAAGAGAAACTGTAGTTAAATTTGGATTCGTAAACAGATCAGAACTAAAGTTAAAGAACCATACCCTTTAAAGAGGACAAAACAGGCTGAGAATAAACCACAGTTCTTGTATCTCACCAATTGGATTTACCTCCTCTGTCTTCGGCCATTTGGATGAGCTTGGGGTTTATGGCTTGGTTGGCCTCACGGAGGACCGAGACGAGGTCGTGAGCCTGTTTCATGTTGTTGGGCGTAAAGAAAGTGTAGGCCGTGCCGGTTTTCTGACTGCGAGCCGTACGGCCAATGCGGTGAATGTAGTCCTCGGAATTATTGGGGTAGTCATAGTTAATGACAAATTTGATGTCCTCCACATCTGTTAAGAGAAAACGGACGTGCCATGGCAGGAATAGAGGAGTGCGGGTGCACACCGCCATAGCAGCGAGGACAGGAGGTGTTAGCAAGGGAAACAATGAATGATAGGTCATCGACTTACCACGCTGAGGAAAGGATGGTTAAAATCAGGACTTTAAGGATCCAAATGACAATTAACAATGTCCTCTATTAAAAGCGACAGGACAAACTGCTGCATCTTGCCAAGACTCAACTCGCTCAAAAACGAGACCGATTAAGGCCTTAAATTTAAGACTGACGCAAGCTTTCCAACCAACCGGTGCTCACTTGAAAGAAAATATGATTCTCTTTGGCAGGACTCGACATGACTGAAGCCAGCAAAAGGAGGGCACGCATCGACCAGCCGGGTAATCACATTCAGTGCGGAGGCATGTAGATTAAAGCAACTGCTCTCGACGGAAAACCGCTAAAATTTCATACAACGCACTTCCTTTAGAGAAAACTCCCAGTCCTTAAACTTAAAGTTCAACAGTTCAAGCTGTTGCGCGAGAGCAGATGAGAGCAGGACGCAAGTGCAGCCACTCAACGGCGAAGCACTCCTCCGTGGTATGCCGCCCCTTGGATTACACCCCAATCACGGAGCTCCGACCACCTCTGAATGCAATTTGATTGGCTGGCAGACAAGTAGAACTCCACAGAGGAGCTCCTTACCCCCTCCTGGTGAACCTGGACGCGTCATGCCAAGGTCCTGCCTCCAAGACTCCACCTTCAGGTGAGAGGGGCTCAGAAAGGCACAGCAGTTAAAAGGAAACGGCAGTACTGTATATAGTATACACAATATGAAGTGATAAGGACATAATAAACTGCAATAACAAACCTAGTCCTCTGGAGGCAACATCTGTGGCAATGAGGATGGGCGCTTTGCCATATTTGAACTCTGAGGTAGGGGAAAAAAAAAAAATAAATAATTGTAATCAAATCATGCAAATTAACCAAAAATGCATTGATGATCTGAGACCTTGATGGCAAACACGTACCATTGAGCACCCAGTCTCTTTCCTGCTGACTCTTGTCTCCATGGATGCCCATTGCTGGCCACCTGCAACAGGAAAATCCAATGAATTCCCTCCATTTCACACCCAAACGAAGCAACCATGACACAGCGAAGCAAAGCAGGTCATCTTACCCATCCCTACGCATCCTCCTGGTGAGATCGTCACACCTTTTCTTGGTCTCCACAAAAATAATGGTCTTGTTTTCCTTCTCGCTCATGATTTCCTCCAGCAGGCGCATCAGTCTGAAGCAAAAAAAAAAAAAAA